TCTTAGGTCGTCAGAACCGCGTGGGAGGAACAAGAGGATGAGACTGGCACCTCCCTGAGGAATTCACACTGTTGTGGCTGGAGGGCTTTGGGGACTGGGGGTTTTGTCTGGGATGGTTCTTGCTAGAGGTTGTAGCTAATAAACATAGCTGGACTGAATTGGCATTGTCTCTTGGAGTTCCTTAGGGTTAGGCCTGACACCATACCAGAGTCCGAGCTCACCTTTCTTTTGCGACACACCAAGTTGGCTGCTGTGATGAGCTGGATGGCATAGCGCAGGGAAGTCTCCAAGCCAATGCGGGTTAGTACTGTGTAGGCATCTTCGTTCATCTCAACATCTTCCTCTTCACACCTGTAAGAGACATCTGACAATGCTCAGCATACAGAATACCTCAAGTACAAAAATAAACCATTGTAAAGATTGTTGGGAAGGGGGACAACTGTAGTACAGGCAACTCTAATATAGGAGCACTGTTTCATGGCAGAAGCTGCTGCAATGTACTCCTCACCGAATTTTCAATATTTGCTTGGTCTCCTTGTCACTGTACGGAGAGGTTGAAATGATCAGCATACGATCCAGCAGATCTATGGGAATGCCATGGGGGCTTTGATAGTTGGTGCCACGAATCCTGCATTGAAAGGGGAAGAAATTCATGAGTGGGGTCCCCAGGACCAACAAGCCAGTGGAAAGAAAAGCATGAAGATCTATTGCCAAGGGATCATCTTTGGACAACAGGTTTTCCTTTCTGCACCTTTCATGAATATAGGTGAGCCTATAGCATTTGTTATCACATTCACCTTTGCTTCATATAATAGTCCCCTTAAAAGTGACAACTTGAGAACAAGTTTCTATGCAATCTTACCCGACTTTACTAAAAATATCCAATACAGACAATCCTCTACTTACGAACTTTCGAGTTATAAACTTTTGTTGATACGAACAAACCTATCCACAACTCCAACAATGAAGGTCCCAGAAATTTATGGCACACTGCATACGTACACCCAGAGGTTTACAGCACACCGCATACATACCACTTGGTTGGACTTACGAACAAAACGGACTTATGAACAGCCTCTTGGAATGTAACCTGTTTGTAAGTAGAGGGCTGTCTGTATCTCTAATACTTTATTACAGTTTTCCACTCAACAATGCACTATGGTCATATACAATCTTTCTTTCAACTGTACCCTTGTCTACCAATATCTTGCTGCCTGCCTTCCTTCCTTCATCGGACAGAGCAAAACCTCATTGTAGCTCAACTTTAATCTCATTAAAAGGGAGCAATGATCCATAGAGGCATTACAATAATTTCAGAATCCTACCAAGCATATCACTCTGCCTCATGAGAGATGTAATCAATTATGTAGAGCAAAGAAGAACAGCGACTGCTGCCTAGCCTATAGCTCACATAATCTGGGTCCTCTGGAAGCAGACTTTTAATGCATTTCTCCATAATGAAACCTTTCAGCCACCCACTGAATCACCTGATACCAACCTGGTGATGCCACGATTGGTGGCCATGATGAGGACAGGTGCCATATCACTCTCCAGGGCCCGATTAAGAAAGGAGAAACACTCAATATCCAGCATGTGGACTTCATCAATGAAGAGAACCTACAGAATAGGGAGAGATGAAATATTACATTGTGGAAGGTTTATACCTCCAGAACTTTCAAGCCAGAGATAAAGCACAGGTAGTTCTCACTTAATGACCCTAATTGGGACTGTGGTCGCTAAGTGCGAAATGACTATGACTGTGCTTTCCGGCTGGAAAAAGACAAGGCTACTCAGTTTTACACCTTTGGCTTTTGTTTGCCTCCTAACCACTCCCCACCCTTTGGAATGCTCAAGTGCCCACTTACTGTCTTGTACACATTGAAAGCAATGCGACAGCCAAACTGCTTGCTCTCTTGAAATCTCTTCCTCTCCAATCTCTCCGCACTGCAAGGGGGGTGGCGGGGAGAAAAAAAGCAAGTGATTTCTATAGGCAATTTCTCCTTTGTCTGACCCTTTCTTGCTGGTGTGATCACATTGCTTTCAGTGCGTAGAAGAGCAAATACCTTACTCTCTTGAAATCCCTTCCTCTCCAATCTCTCTGCTTTGCAAGCAGGGGAAAAAGAAAAATCACAGGACAGGCACAGGACAACATGTACTGACTGTAATGGCGATCACGTGATAGAAGGACACTGTGAAGGTCGTAAATGGTTGTAAATTGGCCATAAAGTTATTTTTTTCAGCACCATCTTAACTTTGAATGGTCGCTGAACAAGTGGTCAGTAAGCAAGGACTACCTGTACAAAACAAGGGGGAGGACCTGAAGGTTTAATGCTCCCTCTAAAACATACAACTCACCCCAGGGATCACCTCAGCTTTGCCCTCTTCTCGCCACTCTGCTACCTTGGCATTGATCTGCTCCCGCACCTCTGACTTTATTTCTCCTGTATCACCTGAAAACAGACATAGGATCGGAAATAAGCGGGAACACAAGATACTATTACCCATACATTTCATCTCTCTCTATGTAGATAGAATACCTGAAAAAAAAAAATTCTCTAATTCCAAGATATGAGGAAAGGAGAGGAGTTTTTCCCCCCTTATTCTTATTTAGTTATAAGTATCATTTATCCTTTGTTACCTTTTTTCTTACTAAAATTTATTAACAACATAAAAAAAAATTTTAAATGCAAAATTATTGCCAAACCCGCCCCCTCCCCCCCCCACAAAGCAATTTTTGCTTTATGGCTTGGTAGATATTTTCTCAGTTAATAAGGGTTCAATAATTATAATTTCTAAAAAAACTATTCAAAGTACATTTGGGTAAATAAATAAAAGGAAAGGAATAAACGATGAAGGTCATACCCACTGTTCCTCCTTATTTACATTTCTCAGCTATCACAATCATCATCAGATATAATTTCAGTAGACTTATTACAATTCACAGTAAAAGACCATTCTATCTGGAGTTATCTAATACTTACTGTTAATTACCATTATAGAAATCTCACAATCCTAATGTAATCTGTATCCTCTGCACATAAGCTACCAAAAACATAACTTTATTTTTATTAATAAATTTTAAAAAATGTTCCATGCATTCACAGGCTTAAAGTTACTAGAAATATAATCTATGGAACTTTTTCCCCCAATGGTTCCATTCAAAGTTTATATTATACTGGAGTGCTGTTATTTGTGTTGGATTGCAGAACAAAAAACTTACAAAGGGATTGCTATTCTGTATTAAACCTATTGATCATTTTTTGCCAAGCTGTAGTGGATTACAACTCCTATAATTTCCAGCCACCATACCAGCATAGAATAATGGGCTTTGTAATCTAACTGGCATAGATAAAGGAAGGCTACATTAAGACACTTAAAAAATATATATCTATGTATCCTATGTATATGGTATATGGTATCCTATGGCATCTCAACATCTTGAATTCAACATAATAACTAGGACTTCTTCCTTGACTGAAAACACCAAAGTCCAGAGTTCCATAGTCTCCATTTTCTCCCACTCCATCCTCCTACCAGAAAAGAGTGCCAGAAATCCTTGGGTGCGGCTATTGATGACATCGATTTCATGTAGCGAGACTGTATGCACAACTTCCTTGCGCTTCTGCAGCTCTCCATCAGGGCACTGCACAAACTTTGTCTAAATTGGACACATGCAATTAAACTTGAATCCTCTCTAATGCATTGCTTCCCAGCCAAGCCCTGTAATTCTGAGCTCAAACAGAAAGTATCTGAAAAATGGGTACATATAAAGCTGTTATGGTATCTAGTTAAGCCCAAAATTATCTACTCTCCTAGGACTATGATGGAGGTCTTTCTCAGTCCGGCTTCCCAGGATCCTTTATCAGGGCCTAAACTGGAGACCTTCTGCCTCCGAAGCAGATCCTCTACATCTTGGCTACAGTCAATTCCTGTAAAGGCTCTGCATCTCAGACTACAATCCATGCCTCCCTTCTTCCCACAGCCGAACCTTTGGGTCTCTTTCTAGCTTCCCATAAATTTAGCTCTTGCCCCACAGCAATACCTGAGAGCCCATTGCATCATAATCCCGTGCCCGAGTGAAGGAACGTCCTAGTTTGGTAATCTTTCCTGTGGCTTTGTCTATGGTAATGACATCCCTGTGGAAACAGAAAGAGGTAATCTTTGGACAGAGCCTTCCATTCAACATTGGGTGAAAGACATCTCATGAAGAAACTCAATGTCTCCTATGATTTCAGAAGCAGCAGCTAATTTCTCTTTTCTACTCACAACTGAAAGAATGAAAGGAAATTTTTCAAGGATGAACTTGCTTTCTGCTCCCCATCTGCTACCCTTTTTGTTTCACCCCATACACGCTTCTCAGTCCATGACCTCCAGGCACACCACAGTGACAGCACTGGGATCCTGACAAGTCATCCCAATGTCTGCTGGAGAGCCAGTGCAGTAGAAGAATTAAGAGCGCTGGACCAGAGAGATCGACATTCAAGTCTGTACTTGACCACAGAATTCAATGAGTGGTTCTGAGGAAGTCACTCTCTACCAGACAAATCAAAAACTTCAAGTCTTTGCCACCACCTCCAGTACAAGCTCTTGCTCTTCATCTGTTTATTTGCAACTGTTTCCTCTTCTTTATCCCTGAGCTCACCCAGCTTGCACTTTCTCCTTGGTCAGTGACTCTATCATCTTGGTGCCCAAGTCATAGATTGTCTCCATCTCTGTTGTTTTCAAGGTCAACTTCCCCACCTTGGCACCCTGCAACAGGAAGAGAGCAATCAACATCCTCCAGTGATCATCACCTTGACAAAGAGGCTTGTATAGACAGCACCACCATTACTGGGCAAATGGAGACAGCTCCATCTTTCCCATATTATGCTTCAGCATTAACTCACAGTGCCAGTTGCTGGACGATCTATTTGAATCTCCACAACTTCACCTTCAATTATTTCTGTTTCTTCCCTGTAAAAAACCCCCAAACATTAACATGGTCACAGAAGAAAGAAAGAGGGCATACTGCAGCATCTCTTACTCGAGAGAGACTCCTTTCTCACAAGAGGTGGAAATATCATTTCAAAGTCAATCAAGAAATCCTCTTTTTTTCCCCATTTGTTTCTATTTTCCATTTAAGAAGCTAAAGCTATAGCTCTATTTTTATTGTGTCACAGTAACTGCCAAAACATCATTGAAAGCAACACAGAAAATATTGCAGCTAACAAGCTAAAATCCATGTACAAGCATTTCATAAACAATAAGAAGCCTGGCTGTTGATTTCCTCATGTTATTTAACTTTCTGGTCCTCAGTTTCTGTACCTCAGACATGTCCTTTCTGTTGGAGTTCTAGACCCCAATCTGCTCTCAGAGAATAAGAATTTGTGGCAACTTACTTGATGCGGACACCAATGGAACGGCGAAAGGCCTGAGTTAGCGCTTCAGTTTTGCTCATCTCCAAAGAGAAGATTTCACTCCCAGCAATGGCTGTAAAAGGAGTGTCAAGGCCCAGTGCCTGGGCCATTCCTGGAAGAGAATAGCATGGTTACTACATAATGAGATGGCAGCCAGAATTACTCAAGAAAAGAGACTCAAGAGTGAGGAACCTTTGTGTTGGTAGACCCAGCATCATTCAATATATCAACAGCTCTCTGCTGGTTTCTAGAATTTGCCCTTACCCATGGCAATGGCTGTTTTTCCTGTGCCCGGCTGGCCAGCAATCAAGACAGCCCGACCAGCAATTTTGCCTTCCTTTATCATCTCCAAAATCACCCCAGCAGCTCGGCGAGCAGCCAACTGTCCTACCATGCCCTGGGATACCTAACAAGAAGAAAAAAAAGGAGGGGAAATAGACAAGTAGGACATACTTCTTTTCCTTCATTTCAATCCTCACAGAGCATATTCCTCACATTTGCATCCCCATGCTGTAACACTTATCTATTAATCTCTCTTAAAATGCACGAATTAACACTATACTATTGTATGTAATGAGTTATGGATCTAGCACATATACTGGCTGCATTTCCAGTTGCAAAATTAGAACCAAGAACATTATCTATCTTGCTTATCTTCTACAGATAACAGTAGAAGATAGTCAAGGCTAATAATTTCCTGGAGAACATTCAAGTAGTAAATTGTAGTGATGTTACTTGTATTGTAAAAAAAATGGCCAGAGAAAACTAATCCGAAGCTGTCCAGTCTTCATCTTGATAAGGAAAAAGAGAAAAAACCCCACTCCCTTGTATATATACATGCATATCATAGTAACTGAACTTGGTTCACTTTTGGTCAGAATGTATTTTTTTATCTTCCTGTTGTTTTTTGTAGATGGTCATATTCTTTTGAGCACTATACCAATGGCGTGGAAACAAATAAGAAAATGGTTATCATGTCCTTTTAATTGCAAATGGGAGGTCAGTCATTCTCCATCATTCATACAATTATCTGAAGAACTCAGTTTTTTTCTTAACTAAATAAGCATTCTACTGCTGGGAGTTTCAGCCAGAGGACTATTTAGAAATGTGGCTTGTGTACTATATATTTTTAATCTTCTATATATTTTTACTCTTTAAAAGTTAGATAATTTATTTAGATTTAAGTCCATTTATTTGCAAAGCACATCAGCACAGATGTAGCCAATTACTGAATAATTTGGCTAATGAATAATTTTTCTTCTCTCACAATTTAAACACCAAAAATTTAAACACCAAACTTCTCCCCTCAATTATTGCATCAATTATTCCACTATCTCACTTGAACAAACTGCTTTATCCCCCAACTTTGATCAACCCAAAAACCTTTTGAAAATTCTTTTCTCAAGTACCTGTCTGGGTTCCAATGTATCATCCAAGCCAAGCCCTCGAATGTGGGAGTGGGCACCTGTGAATGTGGAAGAGAGATTATTTCAAAAGAGGTTGGTAAGATTGTATACCAGAAGCAGATTTTTCTGAGTGGGGGCTTTACTTAATACTTTTTCAGAGGGCAAGTACCACTATTGGCAGGATGATGATGCAAAGTAGTTGAGGCAATATCAAATAGGTGTGTGAAGGCAGAGTTTTAGAAGGTTTTTTTTAATTTGGAGAGAGAATGACTTCTTCAGTTTTGTTTTTACAGTTTGTTAAGCCTATCTTAAGATCTTTCTAAAATTTTCATAATTTTCCTCACTCAAAATAAAGGAGAAAATCCATTTTTGTCCATTTTATTTGGGAATCCACAAATAAAGAAGCTGTCCTGAGACCTCAGTGTTGACTATCTTGCTGTATACCAGGAGAATCAAAATCACAAAGCCATCTAGCCCTGCAGTCGCTGTTGATTAGGCATCCATTTCCATACAGGCAACAGCATATTTATCTACTTGTTAGATTTATCCCAAAATTACTCATTTAACAGTAAACTACCCCATAGGGATAAAACTGTAAATCATCCTAGCAAGTGGCAGCAATGAAAACATACCAATGCGTTCAATCCGGGTGACATCCCGAACTTCAGGAACTTTTGTAGCCTGAGAAAAGAGAGAAGATTGTGAGGTTGCTCAGATCTCAAAACTTTTCTGTCCTGAATCCCAAATAAAGTAACATATTTTGGTCTGAATTGTTTCTGCTAAGTAGACATAGAGCAGAGAAGCAAAATATCAAGCACTCTCTATATTGCTTTCAAAACAGATATCTTATTTGGAAACACCTCATATGATACATGATATGTAAGAATCACTTTACATGTTCACTGTGTGGCATCCAAAACACAAAATGAGCTACTGAAATTCCAAATGTGAACTTTTTTATAATCTGACATCACTCCAAACACAGAATATTACATAATTAGATCATAAGTATAGATACGAGTCCCAAGTATTAACCAAGCACTAGATGAAAAAAAAATCAAATTATATATATGGAATGGAATGGATGGAAGAAAATGAAATATAATTGGAAGATGGAGAAAAAGGAAGAAAAAGAAAGATGGGCAAAGAGATAGGTCAGACAGGTAGAAGCAGCATTGTACTGTGAATGAGGTCAGACTGGGAAACTGAAGAGTACAGTAAGGTAGTTATATGAGTGATAGCATACATTTGTATAAACATTGTATTTGCGTGTGTGCACATTCAGGTATTCCTTGGGTTACAACAGCAATTGGGATCATGATTGCCATTGCTAAGGGATGCGGTCATAAAGTGATGTCACATGACTGCATTGCTTGGCGATGGCAATCCAAGTTGTCGGCATAACCCAAAGACATGCTGGTCATTAAGTGGGAAGAGGCGGGAGTCCTAGGTAAGAAGCGCAGGGGAGAGGCCAGCACAGGCTGCACATGAGTCACAGGAGGCTGGGGAGGGCTGCAAGCTGCAGAAGGTCAGGGGAGGGCCTGGGAGGGCTGCTCATGAGTCTCAGGAAGGCCTACGAAGGCTGGTGCAGGCCACGTGCGAGTCACAGGAGGCCAGAGGAGGGCCGGTGGAGGTTGCTGGAGGGTGGGGGAGTGCAGCAGGAGGGAAAAAAAGTGGGAGCAACTTACCGGAGTGACTTCGGACATTCCCTGCTGGCTTCCCCATTGAGTATGCTTGTGGGAAGCCAGCAGGGAAGGTTGCAAATGGTGATCATGTGACCAGGGTTCTCTGCAATGTCCTAATCGCAAGCTGGGCACACGACCGCCTGGATCGTGATCATGTGACCGTGGGGTGCTGCAATGGCTGGAACTTTGAGGACTAGTCGTACATCCATTTTTTCAGTGCCATCATAACTTTGAACGGTCACTGAATGAATGGAAGTAAGCCAAGGACTACCTGTATATATAAACATGAGAGCCAGAGTGAACAAACAATACACTTAAAATACCATGGTGGTTCAAGGGTGAGAGATGATCCAAATTAATAACCTTATTCTTAGATAGTTCAGAATCTAATTTGGCAAGCTGCATGTCATACTGTTCCCCCCTTCCCCCCCAAGTTAGTTTTTGACTCCTAGCAACTGCCTGGACTAGTCCCTGCAGTTTTCTTGCCAAGATTTCAGAAGTGGTTTGTCATTGCCTCCTTCTTAGGGATGAGAGAGAGTGACTGGCCAGGATCACATAGCTGGCTTTGTACCTAAGGCAGGACTAGAATTCATGATCCCCCAGTTTCTAGCCTGGTACCTTAACCATTACACCAAACTGGCTTTCGGCATACTCTATAGCGTTCTAATTTCTCCCCAAACTGTCAGACCATGTATCAGTTGTTTAACAGGACCCATGATTTGCAGGTGTAAGAGTTCCCAGACATCCACCCAACAGCTGATTTGGATGTTGCTGGGGGGCACTTTCCAATACTGATAATGGAGAAGCAGAAATCAGAATCAGAATCACTGGAAGACAAGTTAATCGCTGTCCCAAATCCCTCTCAGCAGCCCTGGTACAGCTGACTCAAGAAAGGGGATAAGATGAAAGTTGTTAGAGCATAGGTATATAGTCTAGAGCTACCACATGTGGGCTGTAAAAATCCAGACAACCACAAGATGGCAACAAAGAATTTCTGCATCTCTTTGCTGTCAAATAGTGTTCATCCACACCTTTACCACCCAGATATGGTAGTTCTAATGCAACTCCCACCCTCAAAACCTGATGCACTTGCCTCTGCACAAAGACTGCCTGCTCCGATTTAAAACAAGGAAGTAAAAGGGCAATAGATTACATTCACACAACATGCTTAAACCAGTTATTGAATTAATGTGTCTTCTGAATCTATACAATACATTGAACCATTCTAAACTCTAGCAAAAATTCAGAAGGCTAATCCTAGCCAAGCTTTACATATTGTGCAAAGGCTGCTGCTAAGTCTAAAAAACTGGTTAAGCATCTTGTGAAGCCAAAACGAAAATCAGATCAGCAGAAGTCACCTCACCACTATAAAGCTCTCTGCATGGATTCCAGCAATCCCAACCTAATTTACAGGGTTTAAAGACAAACTGGCAAGTAGTGAAACAGAATTAGGTAAGTTCCTCGGAGGGAAAGCTGTATATAAATGCAATTCATACGATACGGAAATCTAGCCCCGTCCCCAAAGTGTTGTCTTCCCAACGAGCTGAACTACTGTTCCCACTTTAGTCATGTGGACTTGCAACGAATTATGGGAGTTGTAGTCCAACGCCTCTGAAGGAGACCAGGCAGGAGAAGCCTAGACTATTCTAGAAGGGAGCGAATGGGGAGAAGGGGCACAAACGTATCCCATGGTCCTCGATCCCCCGTCAGAAGGTCACTGACGACCAGAGACTCGGAGTGTATTCGTGTGGGGAAGGAAGATTATCCGGGTCTCTTCCTAGGACAAAAACGAGGCTGTCGCTCACCGCGGCCGTTGCCATGCTGCTGCTCCTGCAACCCTCCTCTCGCGCCGTTTCTAAGCTCCAGCCCGCTCCGCCTTCTCCAAACTCCAGGAGGCCGGGAGCGGAAGCCGGAAACAGGAAGTGCTTCGGGTGAATGTGTACTCGAGCCTCTACGTTCCTTTGGTCTTCCCGGGTGACTTTCGACCGCTCTAGATCGCCTCCTCGGTGGAAGTACCTTGAGTGCGTTTCTTATTCGCCCTGTCTAGGCTTAGTTGCGTTCAACGCGTCCCCTGCTTGTCCTCGGAGCCAATTGCAATGATGCTGCTCTAAGCGCATTAAGATCTGATTGTACTGAAGAAAAATAATAATTTAAAAAATGGGACTGCTCTAGATGCCCTGTATTAGATCAGGTGGGGAACGGAGCGAGCAACGATCATGCGGCCAGAGCTGGACTTCGGGGGAGTAGTTCAGGGGCTCATTGAGGAGAACAGCTCACTTTGTTACGAACGAATATACGTTTATCTCCAAAGGTCGCACGAGTTTTAAATCATTTGATGTATCAGTCAAGCTGTTCTTCTGCAACATGGTGCACTAAAGCTATGTTGGACTTCCAAACCGGCACAACCAAAGGAGAACTGATCGATTGATTATGTGCCATCAAGTAATTAGAATAGGGTCGCCCAAAGAAAAGAGACAGACGTATTTGACACCAAAATGTAAGAATCTTTAAAAATTTATTTAAAAAAAAAACCACAGGGCAATATTCAGTGCTTCAGGGAAGCTGTTGTTGAACCAACACACTCCCATATCCCTGAGTTTGTTACATTGATTTCTCTTCTCCCCACATTTGTTTAAAAGATAGTCCCACTGGAATTAACAAGACTCTCCTGCAAGTCAGCTTTGCATAGGAATTATCTTCATACATTTTTTTTGTTATGAAATTCCAAAGTTTCTCAGAGCAAAAAAATTCAGAACAAAGGCACAACCACAAAGACAATAAATAATTACAAGACAGGTGTCGCATCTTAAAACGGGGATAAAATAAGATTGAGAGTATTTATTTATCCTCAAGTGTAAAATTTGAGGAAACAAAGATCTTCACCTTGTGTGAAAAGAAGAAAAGCAGCACGCCTTCCTCAGCAGGGCTTTCTTAAAGAAGGGAGGCTCCCACTTTCTTAAAGAAGGGAGGCTTCCCCATCACTTTTCTTGTCTCTGATGGCAGGCAGCTCTGAATAATGGCCTTTCAGAAATATTTTGACATCTAGCAGGTTCATGAGGGAGTAACTACTTCACATTTTTGCAGGAACAGTTGGCAAGAAAAGTTGGCGTACTGTGGTCAATTTTTGCAATTAACTCCAAGCAAAGAAGTTTAGAATTGGTTTCTGCAGATTCTTAGCATCTCAGAGTTAGTTCCAGTCACAGGTACTAAAACAAAAACTATTTCTTTGGATTTAACTTTGCTGGAAAAAGACAACGGGACTTTCCACAGAGACTTTTAAATGCTAGCAGCTCTACCCAGCACTCAGTTTTCTGCAAACAAGATTCATTGTAAGAGCATTGCCGCTGGTGCAGGGACGGTTGTTTAGTCGAGTTGCAAGTCAAATATTTCCTCCTGGGCTACAATGCTCTCCTATAAAGAAAAACATGTTGTTATAAATGACAGCCATTTCCATTGCACCATTAAACTAATTTCCTTCCTTCCTTCCCACCCACCCACCCACCCACCTAGAGGCTTTATAACTACTTCCATTGTGTCATGCTCCAATTCTGAACAGCAAACAGAATTGTGACAGATAGAGGGGGAAACCCTCTGGTTTTAGGAGGCAAAAAAATGGCCCTGCATACTTGCAGCAATGCTATTATATCACTGTTATTCCCCTGGGAGACCAAAAATATTAAAATGCAGTCCCCTGGTCACAAAAAAATAGCCCTGTAGTAATTCTCTAATTATGACATCGAACATTTTTCCTCTCTTTTTTTGTAGAAAAAGTAGTTTACTAGCTGCCATCCAGCAACTTGATTATAGTTGCTACTGGAGAGACAGAGAACACAAGTTCCTGTCCACTGTCCACAGAATATAGGTTTATTTATTTATTTATCATATTTATATAGCCACCCATCTCACACAAGGTTCCCTTCTACTATAGAACTAAGCTACACTTGTGGTGCTCTATGAACTCTGAGCTGCAGCTTTTAGCTGATATGTAACTCTTCAGCTAAATAGGGTGTCTTATTCCAATTTTATAAGCTAAAAAGCACACCATTTACAGAAGAGATGGCTTTTTTCTCCCAAAGTATTTAATCAGAGCCTGAAGTCATCTTGATTAAATTTTGAGCAAAACATCAGGATTTTGGGGTCCTGTTATCTGGCCTAGCATAAGTAAACCCCCGGGGACTACATGTTTCTCCACGTACCCAGCCACCTTGCTGCTGCAGCCAAGGTATGAACATATCCATATACTGCAAACTATAGCCCATAACAGTATGTACTGTGTGGCTGTTGATGCCAGCCACTTTCCTTGTGAGCTCCATGGTGAGGGCCAGCTTGGCTAGCTGAGGGCTAGAGACACCAGGTGGGGTACGTGATGTGAAGGCTTCAGCCAGGTGAGTAAAGCTGCGGTAGGAGAGGCGGGAGATAGTATTGCGGAGCAGTGGGTCAGCTTCAATCTGCCAATGGAAGAAAAGGAGATGGATGGCAAGAGTTCAAATGTTAGGGGAAGCCTTTTAAGGGACAACTGCAATTAAACTGAGATGATCCACTGTGCCCCAGATAATGAACTTCTGACTTGGAGGGCTGAGGGGAAACCTAATAGCAGTATTCAGATATGTGAAATGTTGTTGCCTCAAAGATGAAACACACTTATCTTCCTTCGCAGACAGAACAGGAATAGAATGAGTGTCAATTGCAAAGAAACAGATTTAGGAGAAACAATAGGAAACATTTTCTTATTGAATGATTTGACAATAGAGACTTTTGACTTAGGTTCTCCTTTGGTAGAGGTACAAAAATAAAGGCTGGACAGCTATCTGCTTAAGATGCCTGGGGTGGGATTACACAATGTCTTACCCTAACATTCTACTACAGTAGAGTCTCGCTTATCCGACATAAACGGGCCGGCAGAACGTCGGATATCGAAAATGTCGGATAACACACAGTAACGATTGAGTGCGATAAAAAAAAAAAAATCCGATCCGCTGCGCCTGTTGCAATCGATGTTTGCGCTGCAGCGCCACCGTCAGGAACAACAAGAAAGTACACTCACGCTCGCAAACAAGCGGCACACTTTTCTCGTTGCCGATTTATGCGTGTTGTGTTTTT